GCTACTCTACTTAACATTACCCAATCATTGCTTCACCAAAACATATTATTATTATGTATTATTATTATTATTATTTTATTTTGTTTATTTATTCGATCCACATGTTAATTCAAACTAACTTTGATTATTTATCCACTATGTGGCACACGATAGAAGCATGATAGATGAAATACGGATGGGGATTGCGATCGAGCTTTAAGTGTACCGGATGATCATAAGATACTTACATTTAATAACCCACAAAAGTGGGACCAAATCTGATCGCTGGCTGGTTGTCCTCGGGATGTGATTCATCTAATTTCTTACTACTATTGTGTATTTAGTATGTATTTATAAACTGTGAGTTATGTTGTTAATGCTATGTAAGAGTGGTACTTTTGTTGACACTGTTAAAGATCAGGTGTTAGATATCTCGCGGGCCCCGCTCCAGTGCTTTCACTGAATAATTAGATAATAAAAGCTAAATGAATCAGCCTGAACACATGATGAGCGCCGCCGAATAATCATCTTATTATTTTCTAATTGAGATGACAGTAGGGCGACAGGTGTGACCACGGTGCTGAGGAGTGGAGGAGAGAAGGCAGTTCATCCTCTCTGCCCACTCGGAGGCGCGTGAGTCACCCTCCCTCCTGTCACACACCCCTCACCCATTTCATCTGCCTTGTTCTAATCTGCTGCGCCATCATTTCTTCCACTTATTCTTCCTATGCTTTTCTGAGCGGTTACGAGGCCTACTGAATTTTTTTTTTTTTTTTTTTAAGTTCGACATAGATGCTGTCCATTTCTAAATATGCGTGCGATGCGTGTTATTGCCCTATTGTTTAAATTAGTATTATATTATTAACACGTATGCACTTTCCTTAATCTTATCCCATAGCATAGACCAACATTGAATAATAGAAATGGCCAAATACAACTGCCAAACTACGCAGCAGCAACATAACAATGTGTCCTATATACGCTGCAAACTCAGAATGGCAGGGTGCAAATGTTTATCTGGTTTTCTTTAATTAAAACATGAATTACTGGTCCATATTTCACAGGAACAGGGGTTTTATAACGAATGATGAGGTGGCCGAATTGATGAGACAACACATATGCAGCGCTGCTTGGATGTACTTAGCACTCCGATAGAGAAGAAGTTCTCGCTAGACCTGCAGACCGTACTAGAGCAGGACCATGATGGCAACACTCATGGAACGGCTTGAAAATGGTTAATAATCCAAGGATGAAACTAAAACAGTAATCACACTTATACCATAATGGTTCTGAGTGTAAGTCAAGTTATAGCCAGCTTACATGTTATAATAATAATAATTATTATAGATAATAATAACTAATACACTTTATTTGTAGGAATAATGCCACTAAGCAGCCCAAAGTGCGTTACAGAAACCAATATTAAAATAATATCAAAATAATGATCCTAATGAAATTCCCGTGGATTAAAGCTAACAAGAAATAAAAATATGTTCAAATAAAACAATTTTAAAAAAGCAAATAAGGGATGGAGAAAGGAAATCTTGAAAAAGGAGGTGTAAAGGTATTCTAACAGATCCTTCTCTCCTGATGCTAACCCCCTGTGTGTCCCCACCGCCTCACCCTCTCCCCCCCCCCGCAGGTGTCGGAGCACGCTGAGCTCTCCTGGATCCTCGGCTGTCTGACCTCCATGCCCCGCCTCCGACACCTGCCGCAGTGGAAGGTCAGACTCTGCACACACTCACAAATAAACAAACTCAAAAGGATTACATTTGAGCATGCTGTATGTAGCAAAGTACAACTTCTGAAGGTAACTGCACTTACTAAATAATGACCTGAAATGAGTACCCCCAAAACTACTCTCTGTCTTGTGTATTAATGACTTTTCTCACTTGCTTCCATCCAAAACTACTAAAACATCTGCATATACAGCAGATTTAAACATCAATTAATACAACTCAGAAATTCACAACTTGTGAAAATACTTTTTTTCCAAAGTGTATTTTTCATTTCCTAATGCCTTGCTTGGAAATATTGTGGGTATCAGAAAAAGCTACTATACAACTTTAACCCCTTAGTCTCCAGCCTTGAGATATATACATGTATATATCCAAGCGGCTTAATTATGCTTTGCTTTACAGATGAAAAACCTATATATTAAAACTGTTTCTTCCCTTCAAATTGTATAGACTGTCATCATGGAGAGATAATGCCAAGTAATATTTGGAATGGGTTGATGTGAAATGCAATCAGTCCAACCCTAATATCCAGTTCCTCGATGCGGTTGGATCTGTTTCTGACTAACTGCTTCATCAACTGGAGATGAAAAGTATTTATTTCATAGCTCAATGAAATACTAACTAGCTTTTGATTTCTGTGAAAGAAATGTTTAAGCCAAATCAAACAATCTGAAGATGACGTTTGTTTCTTTTACAGCCAATAACATAAGCTGTGATTATTATTCATATTATATTGGACCCCCTCTATCTTCCTTAACATACCATGCTGATTTAATTATCACTTCATATGTGCTTGACTTCGGATTAAACGTTGTAAATGAACAACACCTTTTCAACTCTTATCTGAATTCCCAGCATTTATCAAACATCCCTATTGCATTACAATTACAGTGATATCCCCCAGCCACATTTAGTATAATAAAAACCAAGTGAGAGGGCCAGCAGTTCCTGTTTCTAAGTAGAAAACTCCTTTTGGTTTTCCCCACACATGGGCTGATGTTGAACACGCTGTAAAATGTCACGTCAACTCATCCGTACCAGTTTCTCTGAGAATCGATGAGGCGAAAAAGTGAAAATGTCTATTTCCATGGCAATGAAACAAATCAACTTGAGTCAGTCTTTCCCCGCTGCCGCGCTTGTATTTTTTATTATTTAATTTCCCGCCCGCAAATAGAACTTGCTTCTTTATTCCCTTCCTCTGTGTTCTCCTTAGATGAAGAGCAAACAGAAGAATGAGGGCAGTGTCGGTCTCTTCACGTATCCCGTCCTCCAGGCTGCAGACATTCTCCTCTACAAGTGAGACGTGTGTGTGTGTGTGTGTGTGTGTGTGTGTGTGTGTGTGTGTGTTCATGTGTCTGCTGTTCAGAGGACTCGGGGTCTCTGAAGAACGTGACCTGCAGCTGAGGATCATGGTGTGTTTAGCTCCGTTAACGAAGCCGTTTCATCTTTTCTCCGTACAAAGAAGGCTGTTCTTTGCGTGTTTCATTTATTCTTATACATCCATATATTCCAGACTTTCAGACTCCAGGAAATCCGAGAAATCATTTTCTTCCCTCATCAACAAAAATGTTGTTTTCCCATGATCTATATTCCTCCTAGAAATGGATGCAACCCTTTGCTTTCCATGCAGATTTATTTGCCCGTTATGCAGACATTTTTATTGTTGGATTACACACACATGTGGGACCGTCCGGTTCAGAACCAGATTGTTTTAAAATGCCAAAATTGTTTCATGATTATCCATCCACTGTATGGGTTGTGGGAAGAAATCTAACACACGGATATCCCCAAATGTGGACAAACGCCAACAAAAATGATCCACACAAATATTTTTTAATTTAGTGATATGAGTCAGCCCTTAATATATAAGAAATGCAGTAAGACAAGCTGGCTTACTGTGGTTTGGAGAGAAAGCGGCTGATCATGAGTTGGTGATCGCTTGTTGTTTGGATTATTTTACGCCGTTGTTTCCACAATAATAAAGAAAAACCAAGCTGCAAATATTTCTCCTCCGTGCTTTCTATTCGAACCATCTAACATAGAAGGCTTAATATCCTGCGTAGTAAGTAAAGACAGCAAGAAGCAACCCATCTATTACGCTTTCTGGATTGTATTAAAGACGATATTAATGGTTTACTTCCTCCCCGGTGACAGTTCCAAAGATCCGACCTTGAGCTCCAGCAGAGTCTCCGATCCGCGCTCACATCAGGTTGTGTTTTTTATTTGTCTCTCCTGTGCAGTCAGTGTTTGATGAAGCTCACGTTGTGTCTGGTCTTCGCCTCTCAGGTCGACTCACGTGCCCGTCGGAGAGGATCAGGTCCAACATCTGGAGCTGGCGCAGGATCTCGCTCGGATCTTCAACAACCGCTACGGAGATCTGTTCCCCGAACCCGCAGCGCTGCTCAGTGAGGACACACTCCGACACACACTCCGACACACACATTTACAGGCTTAACGGCGCACACACACACACACACACACACACACACACACACACTCCGTTATATCACTGTTTGCTAATGTTTTTTTAGCCGGAGTTCAGTAGCTTTCACTTTTTATTTTTAGATGCAAAAAGTATTCAGTAGTTTTATTTCTTTCTTGTTTCTGTGGAGAGGAAATAAAAACATTTGAATAGTGTTCCATAATTCATCACAGCTCATTAAACTCCTTTGAAAGAAATCCCAGTCTTAGGAGCTTTTAAAAATATATATCAAACCTTTTATATTGCACATATTTATGGAGAGAGTGCGACAGGGATTTATGGTTAAATCTCCATCTTTTTAAAAAACCTTTTAGTTTAAAAACGAGTCCTTGAAGCACTTTTCTTCCTTAAACAATTCTCCTTGCCAAAACTATTTTCATAATCTCCCAATGCAGTTAGAATACGTCAAGAAGTTTTATTAGAAATCAGTTATTTTCTAAGAATGAGAGTGTGTCTTGAAACAAGCACAAAGTGAGCACTTTGCAAGAATGAAAGCTGTAACAATCTAGAAGATACTTTTACTTTTAGCTGAGCAGATTACAGCGTGTATATTTTCTTCTTCTGTAAATACAAGAGACTGACGCCAGTGATTTCCGTCAGGCCCTGTTTGAGCAGCTGGAAACATCTGGATGATGATGCTATCCGAGCTTGTCCAGCAGACAAAGAACGAGAACAAACAGCGATGAGCAAAACAACACATTTAGGCATTATAGCCTTTATTAGATAGCGCTAACAGTCGAGATGTGAAAAGGAAACGAGGCAGGTGAACGGTGAGAGCGATGGAGAGGTCACCGGAGAGATTTGAACCGAGTACGTCGGGGTTATATTAAACTCTTATGCTACAGAAACGCCCCTTTATCTACTTATTGACATATCATATCCCCAAAGAAAGATGCTAGAATGAACAGTATAGTAGTCCGCTGTCTTTTTGAAAGATGCAAAAACTACAATATCTGATTTGTATTATTTCTTCCAATATGTTTCCTACTCCTTCATGCCTCGCTCTCTGTGTTCAGTGATGCTCACAAAGTTCCTTCTACTTTCATTTCCTCACATGATAAGATTTATCTTAGCAGCATTTTGCTATTTCTTGGATAGTGATGAAAGCTTTCATTTCCTCTGCCTCAGCAACTGGGAATAATCTGTGGAACAACTTTTAAAGGGGGAACTCGTATTTCTTTTTATTTCTATGCTTTAAGCCCCTGTCACACTGTCCCGAAATTGACACCCGATGGACACACGAATATGGAATTGTGAATTTCGCACGAAGATGGCCCCGAACCACACACGAAGGCAACATTTACATTACATTTAAGACATACAACTGCAACGAAAGTAACAAAAACAATCATGTTAAAGTACTATGATACTGTACTGATATTTTCCGACTTTGTTCTTTACTTTCTCCGTCTTTATATGTAGAAGATATTAAGTTTTCTCCGTCATGTTGTTTCCATAGCAACAACAACTTCCTCGCCTTCAAAATAATATATTATATCCTTTTTAGTTTCACAGAACACAAATTGGGTTATTTACATAATATGTTTACATGATTTTGTTGTGCAATAAAACAACCAGATGGACACACGATAAAGGAAATGTTCAAATTCGTCTCTGATCGTAACAACACCGGGACATTCATGAGGGCATCTTAAGCCATCTTTGTGATGCCAAAGATTTTGCCACCGCTCACGAAGTTGCTGCCGGAGCCTGAGAAACTCCACCGGCGGTCATACGATGGCTTAAGATGCCCTCACGAATGGCCCGATGTTGTTACGATCAGAGCCGAATTTGAACATTTCCTTAATCGTGTGTCCATCGGGTGTCAATTTCGGGACAGTGTGAATTTAGTGTGCTGCCGTTTTGGCCACGTCTCCCGTTGCAAATGATATATGTTTCCTTGTTAAATAGTGGTCAAATTTAAAATGAGACTTTCAGGGAAAATATTAGGCCGTCCAGAAAAGATGTATCACACAATATGACGTTATTACAGTTTGACTTTGGAAAAGATTACTGTGTGTTTTCCAGTATGTTCTCACCGTTTACACACACATGGCTAACATGCCCCTCGCCCTGTTTCATCCTCACTGATGATCAGCATCATAAAAGCACAAGATGGAGTCACTCATGTGTGCAGCGCAGCTTTGATTAAAGAAATATTTTCATCCACTTGTATCAGAATAATAAAGTGATAATGGATGTCCTCAAGATGACTTCAGGGAAGGGGGTTTCGTGTGTGTCATAGTGTGTGTGTGTGTGGGTGTGGTTCAAACTAGCAGATCCTGTCTTCATGTTCTGTTCTTCCAAGTTGCCAATCACCATCTTCCCTTTGAAACCAACCCAAAGACCTTTTTAATCCTCCTGAAGTAAGGACGTCTCACGGGGGACAAACAGGATGTGGCACATGGGAAGGATGTGGACTTCTGTTATGGGATAGAATAATAGATGGAGCTTGCAAGATGGCGGAAGGACGTGGGATGATAAATAAGAGAGGAAAGGAAATCCCTGATCTCCCAGTCTGCACATCACTTCACACCGAGAGACGTCTGCTGCACACACACACACACACACACACACACACACACACACACACACAATCAATCAGTGTCTACATTGGCTGCGTTTCACTTGATGAACCACGAGGCGTTTCACATCTTAACTTAAGGAATTGACCGAAATCCATCAGTAGATATTAAAAATGTACTTATTTATTTTCATTCTTTTATGTATTGCACATGTGTCCGTCCTGGGAGAGCGATCCTTTTAGACGTTTCTCTTCCTAAAGGTTTTTCGGGGGGGGGTTTTCCTCGTGCGCTGTAACGGTCCAAGGACAGAGTCATATGTTATATATTGTACAGATTGTAAAACAAATGGACTTGACTAGTTCCCAAGGAAATGTCTTTACAGAGTCAATGAACGAGTGCTTGAACAACTTTTCCCTAAACAATACGTTTGTTTACTGGAGATCTATTCACAATTACAATGTACAAAATACAATAACATCAAAATGCTTACACGTTCATTTGGGTTTCCCTTCAGTTGTTATCGTACTCTCGTTAAGTTAGGAATGCTTTGTGGACTTTCTTTTGGCTAAACGCAGGCCTCCCTGCCCTCTGATTGGTGGAGGTTGTTGTCAGGGTTACATGCAATTTGCTGACACTCTACAGAGCTCTGAATCGACATTTTGTTTTTGATTTACAATTAATATTCCTATAAGATGCACATACAAAAGGATGTAGGATTCTACTTATTTGTATTATTAACTAAAATGTTTTTTTCTACAACATAGTCCCTCACTCTCTGATTCTTACAGCTGAGTTTTGTGATTTGAATAGATAAACAACTTACACGACTTAGAAGGATATTTGCAATCTGTCAAACTTAACCGGTGGTTTTGTATATTGTATTATTTCAGGATGGCTCATGGAAGACTGGAGGCAGGAGCGAATTATTTTGGGCGTTAACTTGCAAGAAAAGGCTTCAGACATCCAATACAATCTCTTGATATAGTCACAGATATTACACCATTCACTTATTGACTCTTAACCTGTTTTTAGACAGTTTGGTCATCATGGTCTGTGGTGCACGTGCTGAAGACCCAGATACAAAATGTTTACTAAATACAAGATATCGACATACATTTATAAACTATAGTAGACGTCTTGCTTTGAAGTTAATATATTGTGTTTAATATTATTTTTCTCATCCTACTAACACATTTCCTGATCTGATCCCCTCCTTCAGGCTCTACACGAAAGGTCAAATCCCTCCGCGACCCTTCAGTCAAAATGTCCAAATCCGACCCGCACGCCATGGCGACCATCAGCCTCACGGACTCCTCGGACGACATCGCCCTCAAGCTGCGTCGCGCCGTCACCGACTTCAACTCGGAGGTGACCTTCGACCCGGAGACGCGGCCCGGCGTGTCCAACCTGGTGACGATCCACGCTGCCATGGCGATGATCGGCGTGGAGGAGGCGGTGTCTCAGGCCGCCGGGCTGGACACGGGGGCTTACAAGAGGCTGGTGACTGAGGCGGTGATCCAGAGGGTTACACCAATCAGAGAGGAGATCCAGAGGCTGAGGGCGGACCCCCAACACCTGGAGGGGGTGCTGCGGGAGGGGGGCTGCCGGGCGCGAGAGTTAGCTGCACCCGTCCTGAGGGAGGTCCGGCAGAGGGTGGGCTTCTCCTGAGAGGAGCTGGGAGAATAGAGCTGGGTTTAAACTGCAGGATGGACTCAGATCTGCTGCTGACATCACGTTGTATTCCTGTGACAAATATCAACACACAATACATGGACACCAAACATTTAACATAACAGCACAATCAGTGAGAGAAAAGCTGCTCAAAGAGCCTTCAGCGTGCATCTGATCTGGGATCAGCTCTGTGTTTACTGTGAGGATTGACTGGAGCACAAAGGATGCTTCAGTCTGACTTGAGAGCTGGGTCTAAACTGCAGGATGGACTCAGATCTGCTGCTGCTGACATCAAGTTTTATTTCTGTGACTGTTAACATCTCCAGGATGTTCAAGGCTGGAACTCATGAGAGCAACATGTGGTGGAAGCAAAGCGGAAAGGATTCAAACGTCGTGACTTGAAACTGATTTGCTGGTGATATTTTGCCCTCTATGTTTGTCTTCTTTCTTTGTCTCATTTAAATGAACGAGGGGGGAACGTCGTTTAAAGCAATGCTAATGTTGGTCTTCTCCATCCAAACAAGACAACATGTCTCTTTTTGTTTCTGCACATGTACACTTCTTTTTAAGACTCTGCTACTTATTTATCTAATTGTCTTTGGAGTTTTAAATGTATGTGTTTTCCAGAATACCACATGCTATTCTTTACAGTATCTTGTCTTTATGCTTCTTGATGCTAACGGCTCTCAGCCAATCTGCCGTGCCACTAAAATCTAGGAAACTTTAGAACAATATATTCAAAGACGTAACTTATATAGTCATACAGCTCTTGAACAGTGTCCGTCATGCACAACAGAGAGGTTAAATAAAAACCAATGATAAATGAGTGAAGGATTGTCTCGTCTCGCTGCATGAAACTCTTCAGGACACGACGTCACGCATCAGGAGGACGTGGGAGGTAAAGGCTTTCAAACTGTGTGTGTGTGTGTGTGTGTGTGTGTGTGTGTGTGTGTGTGTGTGTGTGTGTGTGTGTGTGTGTGTA